AGGAATATGGGGAGCCGCTGAGAATCGAGTGATAAGCGTGGGGGAAATGAGCAAAAGCTGCGCGTCTCACTTTGCGGCGAATTGGCGAAGAGAGCGGTGAATATATTTAAACACCGGCAAAAATACAGTAGACAAATCTACAGTAATAACAAAATGAATTGTAAGTATGCGATCTTAAATTACTTAATATAAATGCCAAACAAAGAAAAGCTCCGAACATAATTTTAAAAAATTATTTTATTTTTTGAAACAATTTACTTTTCAAGTGTACCTTTGAGAGAACGCAAATATGACGACAGTTTACCCCCTTACCTTCGCCCCCCTCTCGCAGAAATTGCGTGTGTGGGCAGCTGCCTCGATTCCTCCCGATCGTATTTTATATACGCAAGTGTGTATATACATACGAATTTTAAATCGTTCAATTGGCACACATTTTCTTTTGTCCATCGAATTGTGACGCAAGCACACACCCCCTCCCAGATGAAATGCCTATGAAATGAGTCAATTCCAAATGGGTTTCCCAAAAACACATTTTCCCTGCATATGTAAATTGGGAATTTCTTTTCGAAGAAACAGTAAGATATGCATTCAACTGAGTCACATTAATTAATAGAAAATGCTGTCAAACGTGGAAAAACTCTTGTTAAATATGTTTACATATGTTTTCAGGTCTAGCCTTGAGGCATCGAACTGCGAATGAGCTATATATGCGCATATGTATAAACAGAAGTACGGGTGAAATGCTTTTGTAGAGAAAAGTCGGGCAATATTTTCGACATTTTACGAGTTGCGGGAATTGTGTAAGATAAAATAAAATCTTTTCCTCGTCATAGTCCCATGATTTTTTATCATATGAGCGACATAAATAAGGAACACAAAAAATAAACATACAATTAAAGCGCAAATTAAAATAATGCTTTCGGGAAAATTCCGTTTGATAAATGGAATAATAATTCGTTGCTACGAATCTGAGTGTTTTCAAAAACAATTTATAAAGACAGCCGCTGTGCAAAAATTTAATAGCAAGCCAATTACCAATTTTACTTTGCCAAACATTAAATTTATTTAAACCAATCTCTACAGCTTAAATCACATAAATTCTTGCTAAATTGTGTACCATTATAATGCATTTTTTAGATAAACCAAAACAAATCACTTTTTTTACCATTCACAAAAACAAGGAATTGGAATTTTGCCATCGAAAGAACGAAGGCATTTGAATATTTAAATAATTAATTTGAAAATACTGCACATGATTTAAATTTGGAGGGTTTCAAACGAGTTTGGCAAGCAAACTACCTACTGAAAAAAACCCCACTCGAGCTCAGAGCCTTTGACGAACCATAAACGAGATGCGAATTAAATAAATCAACAGCCACACGAAGCGAATAAAAGAAAATAAAATGTATCCGCAAGATCAAAAACGGAAGATACAACTAGAATTCATCCAGCTGACACGTGCCAGATTCCAGAGCCAGCGACTCAAACAATCGAAAAGTGAGCGAAACAGCTGTTTGGCATTCCCCGATAAAAAAACAATAACACCAATAAAAATTAAACAAAACAAATGCTGAGACAGCAACAACCACATGGAAAATAAAGTGAAGCGGACAACAAAAGGTGCCAAACAAAAAGCGAACCAAGAAAAGGTTCAAAGACTCGACAAAGAAGCGATAAATAAACATAAAATGCCCATAAAGAAGTCTTCATATCAACACATACAAGTCGAATGCAATTATTGATTTCATTATTTTAAAGAACTGAAAAAAATACATGATAAGCTTTTTTATACTTTATGGTGAAATTAACATAATTTTTGGCATAGAATTCTTAAGTTAATATAAATTTAAGCCCCGAAACATTTATGTATAATATATACTTTTCGTTTAGCCTAAATTTGCATTTTAAATGTGCATATTTCAGACCTTATTTATTTGGGTTTTAATGAGGAAGAACCTCTTTCTATATTTATTCAATTTCACAAATTCTTATTTATTTTATTAATATTTATTAGTCTTCAAATATATCGAATATATTTGAACATTTGACCAAACTTTTAAATTTTATAAGTTATTGATTTGAGTGAATAGCAAACGTAGGAGGTAAAAAAGTGTCTTTCCTTGTCTTTTGTTCGATTTTATTGGAATTCCTCCAAGAACGGTTAACCCACATAGAAGAAGGCCTCCAAGCCAGTACGGCATTAGGCCCAATCCGACCAAATGTGGGCAGCAGGAAGCCAGCCACATGCAGCTAAAAGTGCCAGACGAATAACCAAGCCAAGAGCCAAGCCGGGCCAAACCAGCTAGCAACCTCCATGGACCACCTTCTGCATTTGGCCATAATAATCCGGGCGTAATTACCATATATGTGTGTAACTTTTGCCATTGCAATCAACTTGAGATCTTTTATATTGTACTCGTATATACCATACTTATATTGGGTCAATTTCACCGCCTCCTCTCTCCTCTTCCATGCAAGACTTGAGTTGGAGGAGGTGGAGAACCTATTTGGCCAGCACGGCGAATACTTGATATTGTATCATATACTCAATTGTATATTCGCACACACGCTCATTGGCTTGTATAATATCGTGGATAACTGGTCGCAAGTGCGTCAAGGAAACGTCATTAAAAAACTTGATATTGGTAGAGTATTCATTAGGTCAGAGCTTAAAGTTCAAAGTAAATAATCAACTCCCAAAATTAGCTTTATATCTTTCGAAGAATACCCGACCTTTCTTGGAAGTATTTATGACGTCTTTATGATGGTTATTATAATTTTATGTTTAGTTTTAACCGTTGATCATTTTTTTGGGGGAATCACATAAAGTTTGATTTTGAAATTTTGTAATACCAACTGGTTTTTCTAGTGATTGGGTAAAGAACTGTGTAATTATTAAAGAAGGCTTATAAATCAAGTTTTTGGAGGTAACCTTCGGAGATTTCTCTGACTATTGTTTAGTCATTTCACGGCGTGAGGATTTTCTTTTTTAGAGTAGTATTAAATAGGTTGAAAAGGAAACCTTTTATTGAAAGTTCCTTAAATCCGTAAGGTACTCATTACCAGCTGTCCTTTATTGCATAATCCTGACTAAAATGTTTCGCAAGATACTCCCACTTTTCCATCATGAAATTCCCCCCGAATGGTCAACAACAAGGACCAGTCAATGATTATTTTGGCCAAGTGACGGCACCGTTTCAATGTGACTGATAGGCCGCCGACCCACTGGAACAGGTAAGCCAAGTCGGTCCGTATTATCAGCATCAAAAGCACGAGTCGCTCGCCCACTGATAAGGTTGCCGTAGATGTGAGCGAGAGGGAAAGACGCGTGAGTGAGTAATGACTAGATTTAGCTGGATAACAATGGTAATTCCTTCTGATAATGACATTCATAAACAACCGAGTCGTGTGGGAAACGCGGAGCAGCGGACGCTGAGCGGAGGCGATACCCAATTCGTCTGTGTGTGTGCAGCTGGTTAGCATGATTCGGTTTTTCGGGGAACAAGACGTACTCAATTTGGGTCCCAAATAAATTACGAATCCGAATCGAAGCAATCTTTAATGGTGGGGTCGGTTAAAGCCTTTAGTTCCGGTACACAAATTTTTTCAGTGGCAAACTCTTTTTAAAGAGAAACATACAAATATAAAAATAAGAAATAATTATGAGATAAAAGGTACATTTTATACGAATTTTTATTTGAAACTAAAAATGTTCACCTTTCCTTCATAAAATCAAAAAACTTCTTAAAATTGAGCTCCCGAAACTGTCAAAAAGGCAACAACTACATAGGAGCGACAAAAGCCACTTCCGTTACAGCAAAACCAACAACTACGGGCAAAAGACTTTAATGACTAAACTTGCCAAGCACCCATACACTCGCAAAGGGAAACATATGCGACCGTGTGCGTATTGTTCTCTTGATAAAAGAGCGAGAAGAACAACAATAAAAGCAAAGTGACAACAAAAGCGAATTGAACTCGGTGAACGCACCTGTCTGTCGGTGAGGGGGTGTTGGGGTAACAGGGGGTGGGGGTAAAGGGCTGCCCAGACAGCTTATCGCCTATAAAACTGCGCACTCTCCTCTCTCTTTCTCCCGCTCTCTCTTCGTTCTGAATTCTTTATCTCAACGGCCAAAAAACGCGCAGTTTCCGCCAAATAAAAACAATTTAAGACCCAACTGGCCAACACAAATCAAAATTGTTAAATTCAAACATTATATTGAACCATAAATAAGTCTAATAATTTTTATAGAGGAACATAAACAAAACAAAGGAAAAACCCCTGTAGACATTTGGAAATGACAAGAATTATTTGTACGGCTGGATAATATTGGTAATATTTTTTATAAAAAATTTAAGGATTTGACAGCTAAGAATATGTTTCTTCAAATTTATTATAACTTTTTTGGTTCAAAAAGAGAAAATGTTACAATGTTTTGTTTTATTAAATTACTTTAATTTAAATGTGTTTTTTTATATTAATTAAACAGAGAGCCACTACATTTTTTTTATTTTCAAAAAACCACAAGAACTTAAGTGAGAGGCCCACGAGCACAATTCAATTACAAATAACTATACATAAATGGGACCTCGAAAATTGTTTAAATTTCGTCGAGGGTAGCGTTTTTAATTTTTTTTGCATGCTTGGACGCTTTGCAAATTCGCCGCAATAATATGAAATAATAAACATAGCGAAACACATACACTGGGCGATAAGCACACTGGGATAATATTTCGTGAGGCTGGCAACACTAGCATGGTAAGAAGAGATCGAGAGAGCCGCTGATCAGCTGCAAAAAAATAAAATGCATCTTTTTTTCTCACTTCCCACTTTGAGATACTCTGCGGAAAAAAAAATCGTTGGATCACAAAATTCATTTAGTTTACTCAGCCACTTAGCGGACGATCTAGAAATTCAAATTGCTGTGCTTAATTTTACGCCTTTTATTTGGCTTGCGTTAATTGTAGCACCGCTATTATGCAGTTGTGTATATAGATACTTTTTCGTTGTATCGCTTGAGATATATCTGTATAAGCACATATGTATATTTTCACACCTTGGCGACACACAGACACGAGCACACAAACACACACGCGCGAATTGAGCACGCGACCGTTGATCGCGTATAAAAAACGTTTCATTGGCTCATCTCAAAAAGAATACTTTTGTACTTTTTATTCTGGGATTTTCTTGGGGGGTTTTCTTATTTTACAAGCACATACACACACACGCACAAAACTCTGCCCGATTTTTATATATGGTTTTCAGATCGATTTCCTATTTTTCTGGGTTGCCAGTGGGCAGTATTTGAATGTAATTTATTTTCGGGCCGCTTTTGTCGCGCGTTCTCTTTCCGAGCGAACCGAACGGTTTGAATATCTGAGCGATACTAAGGCGAAAAGCGAACGCCGAACGGCGAACGTAGCTGCCAGATACGCCAGATGCGGCGAAAAACGAGTGCGGCGAGTTCGCCTAAAATAAACAAAGCCAAGGCGCTCAAAACGCTTGCGAGTGTGCGTGTGAATCTGAGTGATTTTCTTTGTTTTTTGCTTTTTATTTACATTTGCCGTTTTTAGTTTATCGCGAGCGACTAATGAACTTTTGCTATTCTCTCTCTGTTTCTCCTTCTACGGTTCTCGCTCTCCACCTCTCGTTTAGCGTTTATTCACTTTGCGGTGCGTTCGCATTCAACTTGTTGATAGCGCTAAATTTTTCCTTTTTTCAGATTTCTTATCAGCAAAAACAAATTGTATCTGTGTTCTGTGACCTGGGAAATGTGCGACTTTTTTATATATTTTCCTTTTTTTTTGTGTTAACGTTCAAACGGCCATGGCCGTAATTGATTGGCGCTGCCTGCAGATAGAATATGTAATTAATTATAGGCAAGAACCCTAAAAACCTGAACAAATGAAAAAAAATTTAATTTTTTTGTATGCTAGAACTGTTAAAAAGTTTCCTAATAGTTGGTAGATTTTTTTAACCTGAGTTTCCCTTTTAAAACACAAAAGTTGGTAAAATATTTGCTTACCTAATTATGTCACCTTAAAACTTTTGCCAACTCGTGGGGAAGTTTTCTGTTTCATAATGGAATCTTTTGTATTACCCAACTTGTTTATGTCAGATAAGCACGACTGAGCTCAAATTAATTAAGAAGACTAAGAGAACAAGCTAATCAAAAACAGCCAAAAAAGGAAACAAAACATTTATTATCTGCAGCGGGAGTTAATAAAAAATTGTTTCTTTCTCTGGATTCTCTGGTGGCATTAAATCGAACAAAGACAACAGCTGTTTCCCCCCAGAAAAAATCCACTTATGAGACATGACTCAAAATCCGATGCGAATCGAATCGAGTTGTATTATATCCAAAAATGCACCGTTAGTTGGACAAGGAAAGTAACATAAGGCCCACAAATATACAAATATCGCGCATCTGTGTGCACTCCGTCAGTTGGCCAAAAGAACCGGCTTTGAGCCAACCAGAAACAGAAAAAAGAGCCGAGTAACCGCAAAAAAGGGGGGAAATATTAACCAAAACTCACTCAAAGTTCGCTTTTGACTGCAGCTATTCACGATAAACTTTCGATAAACTTCACCGCAGCTTTAACTCCGTCGAGTTAAAAGCTCCAACCCCTCCGGACTCAAAACTTACGATATTGGGGGTCGTTTGAGTCGGGAACTAAACTTTTGCTCATCGCCAAGTTGCCGGCTAACGGAGCTGGAGTGGAGTGAAAATATCGTGAATCAAAACAAAGTAAAGTAAACGCAAAGTCCAAATAAAGCCGGTAAAAAAATGACAAAAGCTACTCAGATGTACTCTATGAAGATAAGCCTCGAAAAATCGGTCATATTTTTTAATACCAAAGAAAGATAAATAAAAAGCAAAGAACTCAGTAGTGTAAAGTATTTTTATTGATTTGTTTTTATAACTAATTTTTTTTCTTTGTTTTTTTTTTACACCAAGCTTAACATTTCACTAATAAATAACATAAAATATTTTGAAAGAGTATCTAAATTCGTATTGGCCTGACCAGCTCCTCTTTCTATTTTTCCTCATAACTTAAGTTCATTTTGCACTCATTTTGTTTTGGCCTTTGTTTGCCAGTGTTTTTTTGTGGCAACGGAAACGGAAATGACGGCACCCGAGCTTGTCTATGTGTTTGTGTGTGAATGAGAGAGCGTCCCTATAAACCACATGGAGCGTGACAGCGACGACATCAGCGACTTTCGCTTCCTGAAAAGTGTTGACAAAGCGTGCAAAAGCCTTCTGCTTCTCCCTCTTCTCCTACTTGTTACCATTACAAAGGCAAACAGATTCCGCGTAGTGGATCTACTGTACCAATCCAGGGGGCGGGGCGGCAAACAGAGGGGCGTGGTGGTAGCCACGCGACAACGACCATAAATTGTGCAAAGTTCTCTAGTTCTGTCGGTTGGCTTTGTTTGTTTGGCCGGCCCGCTGTTTGTTTGGCCGTTTGTTTGAAATTAATTAAAACTTTATGTGATTGTTTTCCGCCCGGCAGAAGTTCGGTTCACTAATATCCAATCCCCACTTGACCCCAAATATCTCGTCAGTCTGGCAAATGCAAATCGGATTGGCATTGATTTTTGTTTTAATCCAAAATTCATTTACTAATTGCAGACACACTCAGCCTTTCAAAAATTCATAACCTCCCTTTGAATTCGAGTTTTCAATTTAACGCTACTTAAAATCTTGCCTTGTCTCGTTAATATTTGATGGCTCGAACACAAAGACAGATTTTAAGCCCATCCTCCGGTTTTACGAAGGCAGGATAATAAACGATTTAGCATGCAAAAATGGCATTGAACCTTGACCTTTTTTTTGGTCTTATATTTAGCACATAAATCTGGTCGCAATTAAATGTCGGATTTGAAAAAACTTACCAATTTTACGTCTCGCCCGCCACAAAACAGGCGGTGCCGCATTGTTCGGAGATGATGCCATTCCAGTTAAATCTGCAATGGAAGAAATTAAACATTATTTCATATTTTTCAAGAGGATTTACCGAGAAACTCGTTTATAATTTCCTACATAATTTAATTGCCTGATTGATTGCGGCTCCGTTTCAAATGGTTCGTTGGAGAAACCCTCGAGCCACGAATCCGGCAAAACTTTTCATGAGGGCCGTGAAATTGCCCACCAAAATAAAAAAAACCAAGAAACCAAAAAAAAAAAAAAAAGAATGCGAAACAAACCTTAAGATAACATTGAACACCCAGATACAAGATACATCCGCCAGCAAAAAGCAGTGAATGAATGCCGGCTGAATGGGTGAATGACTGAGTGACAAGCTTTGATTAATGGAGTCAGCAGTCAAAGCAACATCATTAGACTATTTACGAAAAATTTGCAAAAGTTTGGAAGCAAAAACACAATTTGTACCGTCGTCTGGCGAAGTTTTCGGTCATAAATAATTTTGAGACATATTTCTTAGAAGACACAATTTATAGTTGTTAGTGAAGCTCGAGTTGATAACAACAAATGCTTTAAGTTTTTAAGAACTCATTAAAGTTATACAAATCTAATATTTCAGTTATATATAAATCAAACAACAGTAAACAATTGTGAACACCGTTTATATCCCCATTAAATATACAAATCATTTTAAATATTCCATAGAACAAAATTCCTTTAATCCGATTTAAATATTGTTCCCAAAAGTATTGATCAACTTTAAACAACAACATCTAAGAGCTTTGCATAAATTATCAACATGTTTGAACTCACTTTAACAATGGCAGAAATTATAGAAATATTCATTAGGTCAACAAAAGGCTTTTATGACGAACAGGTTCAAAAGAGCCAACTCAAATAAAGAACTGAGTAAGCATTTGTTAAGACAACAATGCTTGCTCTTGGCCATAATTTGATCAGCTATAAAGTGATATTGCCAAAAAATTTTTGAATGGAATTCCCTGCTTGTAGAGGAACTTTCCTCCCTTTTATAAACATGCTTTTGCTGATTACTCTACTTTATGGCTTTTCTCTGCGCATTTCTGTTGGCTCATGTTTGGTTTTTCTTATCGCGACACATTGCTGACTTCGCCTTATCAGCTGAAAACAGAAACGGGCCGACCTTGACTTTATATCTCACTGTTAGTACGCCGCTCTTCAATCTGCACCGCCACTCAAACAGTCGCCCAAGGCGTGGAAAAGTCAATGAACCGACCGCCTCACGATCGCCTCTGAATACTGGAAGGTTTTTTTATTCATTTCGATTCCATTCGATTCGATTCTACTTGACTTCGTTCGGCTTAGGTTCTTGCCCATTAAACAGCAGAAAAATCAATAAAAAAGATTCGTGGCTTTCCATTTCCTGATAAGCAATCAAATGTAGACGCCACCGTAAAATTCGAAGAAATAAAACATTAAAATAATAATAAAAATGCACGTGCGTGCACCCAAGAAAATAATTTCTGAAATTTTAATATAATTATAATAAATTCTTCATAAGTTCTCTATTAAAAATTTTAAATTAAAGTAAATATTCATAAATAAATTTGCACCTTAGAAAAAATGAAATATATTTTTTGCTAGGTATTAATATTGAATGAATGTTTTTTTTTTTTTTGTAGTTAGGATGTAATATTTTTCCAGCTGCTTCTTGTTGCTTATTTTGAAGTTAATTTTTCGTAGTGCATTTCTTATACTTTATTTATTGGGCTGTCAATTTATTTGTATGAAATTCATTGTCAGTTGGCGCCACTTGTCGATCAGCGTGCTAAAGATTAATCGTCAGGGGCGGAACAGATAGTGTCGAGGGGGGAAAACGGGGGGTTGGGCCAGGGCCTGTTTCCCCAGATTATAACTGCGCACAATTTATTTGCAATTAGTGGTTGCAAAACACAAAAAACATTGCCAAGACAATGGCGAAACAAAATGAAATGCAAACAGTTAGAACGGCACGGAAAAAAGTCATTAGATAACCCTCCGGAGAGCACTATAATTAGGTAACAGGCTTACAAGCGATTCCACTATTTTGGGTTCAATAGTTGGCCGAAACAGTGATGCCAAAAAGTTTAGCATCAGTGTATTTTTTGTGTGATTTTATACTATACAAATTAACATTAAATTCGTCAACGATTAAACCATTTTTTTAGAGTCACAAAATAATTTTTATTTATTTATAAGCTTATTTACCAACTCTATGTTTATGTAAATTAACCTTTCCGAAACCTATGAATACATCAACTAAACCCTAATTAAAAATGCCCTCGTAATCGTCATTGAACTACTTTAACACTTGCCCAATCAGTTTGTTGTTCACAACAACCCTCTCAAAAAACCATCAAAAATTACCAAAAAATACAACAAAAAAAAAATTGGTCAAGTACAGGGAATAATAATTCATAATTAATACGAAACGCATATCACGCAAAAGTTGACCGTTTTGCGACTATAAAATGCGTAATCATCTAAATAATAACAATCCACGTTCGTTGTGGCACCATAAACCGTAAACAAAAATTATTGTTGCAAATCAAACAGCAGCTGACGATGGGTAAACAACAGGCAGCCAGAGAGCCCGGTAAACAATAAAACACGAGCGGAGCAACTTGGCAAACAGAGCCCTGGAATTGGCCGGGCCAAAATACAAAATGCGAAATAAATATAAAAAAAATAAAAAGGAGAGCGCAGCGAATCTAGGTGAGATCTGCGGGGTGAACCATCGTTATATGGCCAACACCCACACCCAAAAAAAAAAAAAAAAAATGGAGCTGTGGGTGGAGCGGCCAAGGCGACAGGCAACAAATCAATCAGCCAAAAAATACACAGAAGAAGTCGAGACCTGTTTGGCATTTTTAATATTTCTGCGCTGCCAACTAAGATGATGCTTTGCAATCTAATTTATTTCGTTTGTCTTTCCTCTCTGTATATACACTATACTATATAAGGCATTTGATATAGTAGAGTTGCTGTAGGGCCATGTCCATATTAAAAAAATTGGTTGAGTCAGTTAAATGAGATCTTAATCGCAAGTTTGCATGT